CTTTCTTTCATTTTAGTAACTAGATGACTGGTCCCCACCCCCGTTCACTAGATTGCCTTTTAATAAAAATGTTTTACCACTCTGGGCAGGAATTAGTTACCACTGCAAATCTAGTGGTAGTGATTTTTCATCATGGTCCAGCAAATGATAATGCATCAATCCTCCAGCACTGATGTGGTCCAGACCACACTGCTCACTTTGTTAGCAACAAAGTCTCCTGGGGCACAAAGAGAAGCCACAACATTGTCATATTGGCTATACAAGATTGTAGTCTTCAACAGTCTGGGTCTATCCAATGAAGTTATTGACAGAACTCATGTCCAAATTCTTTCTCTTCTGTGCTGGGCTACTGCTAGAACATCTGCTCAGTTCCTTTTTCTTTCCAGATGAAATGCATGCTGGATTTTATGGTCTAATTTGGATGTACGTAGTTCAGGGTTCATCCAAGGGCTTGGCAGTAGTTTAGGTGTAGAATTTGGATGTTCCTGCTAATCCTGTAGCTACATACTTACCAGAATTTCTCCCTTAATTTCTAGCTTCTCTGTTAGTTTGGAACACCTTTTTCTGATACCCCAGGCCATCACACTGTTCTTTCTGTGAGTTCTAGTCATCCTGTGTTTCCTGGACTAGAGACTATCCTCAAGATAAAATGGAGTATAAATGTGAGCCTTACCTGGTACAGTCCCCTTCTCTTGTGGTATCTTCTCCTGAGCCCAACATTTGTATTCTTGGAGGTGTTCTCAGTGTCTATTTTTAAAATATAGTTTTTCTAATTACCTGTGATGAATTTAGTTCAGTATAAGATAAATCATCATTTTGCTCATATGTTGTCCTTAGAACAGGAAGTATTGTGAATAAAAGGTATTTTATTTAAAATATATAACTGTGGGTTGGAGAGATGTCTCAGTGATTAAGAGCACTGGCTGCTCTTTAACACTCATACACAGATCACAATAGCCTGTAACTCCAGTTCCAGGGAATCCAATGCCCTCTGAGAGCACTGTGCACACATGGTACACAAACATGCATGTAGGAAAACACCATACACATAAAAATAAATAAAATATATAAGTGGAAAGTATAAGTTACTAAGGTTATGAATAATCATATTGTATTTTGATGACTCCCATTTACAAATATGCATAATACAGTTTGTTACTGGGGATAATGGCCTACTCTCATGAGGGATATATACTGTTTCTTATGGGAAAGGAATAATAAAGGTAGTTCCCACTCTTAATTGTACTCCCTACTTTTAGTATTTGGTGGCTAATTTCACATATAAATTTGGCTGTAATAAGGTGCTATGAAGGTATTTTTCAGATATGGCTAAAGTTATCATTTACAGACCACCTTCCATAATGTAAGCTAATCTCATCCAGTGAGCTCCAGGCTTGAGTGGAAACTGGGGTTTCTGATAGTGGCATTTTCTCAGGACTGTAACATAGATCTCTGTCTGGGTTTCTAGCCTAATGCTGGATCTGCAGATTTGAGATTTACTGTCCTTGCAATTGTGTGAATCAGTTCCTTCAATAGACATCTCTACCTGTACATATTTTAGGTTCTGTTTCTCTGAATGTCCCTAGCCAATAAAAAAGAGAATATCCAGTAACTGTGGTGGTTTGAATGAGAACTAAACTCACTATAGATAATTAGATAAACTCTAAAAAGAGGCTTATATATTTTGCCTACTTGGTCTCCAGTTACTGGAACTGTTTCAGAAGGATTATGAGGTGTGGCTTTGCAGAGAAGTCGAGTAACAAGGAGGCTGGAGGGGGCATGGGGAGGGCACGGACAAATCTCATTGTAAAGGAGAAATAGAATAGTCCTCCAAGTTGGATGGGGGAGGGTTCTGGATAGGGGGAAGAGAACAGTCGAGATCAGGTGGGGGAAGATGGAGGGAGAGACAACTGGAATCTGGGGGCATCTCTGGGAGCTACAAATCTAGTGCAATGGAAACTCCCAGCAATCTGTGAGGACAACCCTAGCAAAGACTCCCAGCAAAGGAGGATAAGGAGCCTGAACTGGCCATCTCCTGCAACAAGGCAAGACTTCCAGTGGAGGGATTGAGAAACCAACCCAGCCATAAAACCTTTGACCTACAATTTGTCTTGCCTATAAGAAGTACTTAGGTAAAGGTGATACAGAAATTGTGGGAGTGGCCAACCAATGACTGGCCTAGCTCGAGACCCATGTCATGAGAGGGAGCCCACCCCTGAGGGCCAGGAACAAGAAGCAGGAAAGCCCAGAGACCTAGGATAGACCCAAACACAACTGGCAGAAACAAAGTCAATGAAGTGATTCCTAACGATATCCTGCTGTGCTCATAGAATGGTGCCTAGCCCAGCAGTCATCAGAGAGGCTTCATCCAGCAACTGATGGAAACAGATGCAGAGATACACAGCCAAACACATTAGGTGGAGCTTGGGGATCCTGTGAAAGATGGGGAGGAAGGATTGTTGGAGCCAGTGGGCTCAAGGGCACCACAAGAAAACCCGCAGCATCAACTTACTTGGGCTCATAGGAGCTCATAGAGACTGAACTGACACCCAGGGAGCCTGCATGAGACTGACCTAGACACTCTGCATATATGTTACTGTTGTATAACTTATTCTTCTTGTGGGACTCCTAACAGTGGGAGCAGGGGCTGTCTCTGACTCTGTTGCCTTCTTTTGGGACCCTTTCCTCCTACCAGATTGCCTTGTCCAGTCTCAACAGGAGAGGAGGTGCCCAATCTCACTGCAACTTGATATACCATGGCTGGCTGATATCCATGGGATGCCTTCTCTTTTCTAAGAGAAACAGAGGAGAAGTGGATGGGGGGTGGGAGAGAAGATGAGTGATAAGGGGGATCTGGGAGGTGAGGAAGGAGGGGAAATGTTGGTTGGGATGTAACAACAAACAAATAAATAAACAAAAAAATGAAGTGTGGCTTTGTTGGGGTGGTATGTTGCTGTGTTGGGGCCACAGAGGTCCTTGTACTCACAGAGAAGCACTAAGAGAACAAGGAATATTAATCACACAGGGATGAGTGTCTTCTCAATGGAGGAAATAAAAATCAAATACCTGTATTCCATCCAGAAAGTTGAGAGTGGATTTTGTTAAGGACCTGGTGACCTTATTGCTATTTACAGAGGCAGACCTCACCCAAATTCCCCAGAATGATTGTCCCAGACTCTTTCCTCCCTAGACCATTAGCCATCCTTAGGGGAGATGTCACATGTACTTTGTGGCTTGCTGTTCTCTATGCTATCAGTTAGAGACCACACTAGATTCTAGGCCTTTTAGCTGTAGAATCCATCCTCATGGTCACATGCACTGTGTAAATGAGTTTCTATGTAGTCACACCCTAAACTTTATTGTGCTCCTGGAATTGGAATGATTGGACTAATTATTGCTGGAAACCTTTCCCCAGACTGTACTGGGATTTAAGTACACTGACAATGATCCGCCTAGAGAAGTCAGTCTGCACGGGGTTTTCATTCTTATCTCTTCACTGGGTTGCTTCTCTGTTTGACACCTGCAGGGACCCCCCCCCCCCCCACACACACACACATCACTGGGGGAGGGATTTACAGTTCTAAAATCCTAAGCCAGATCCTGTCTTGCTTCCTGAAACTTTTAGATTAGGATGTGGGCTCTCAGCTCTCCAGTGCCATGCCTGCCTGCTGCCACACATCCCGCCGTGATGGTCCTGGACTCACCTTCTGAAACTGTAGTCCCGTCCTCAAATTAAATGCTTTCTTTTATAAGTTGCCTCAGTCGTGATGTTTCCTTACAACCATAGAATCGTAACTACAATGGTAGCTAGAACTATTTTCCAGAAATTGAGGTCTCTCCTGGCATCTTCATTGACACTTAAAAACTTTCACTGAAACCATTTTTTAACTAACATGAACAAATAAGTCGAATAAATAAAATCCCTATTTTAACACCTCTTTTTGCTTTTGAGAGAACAAAAATAAGCAGAAAGATTTAAAGAGATATAATCATTTGTTATTTTGCATTTAATACATTTTTTTTTGTACTAAAGGGTCATGTTCAAAATAGATCACGAGTCAAACAATTCAAGATTAATTTCCCTAACTTTTCAGGAATTATTAAGAAAAAAACATTGATGACTGGGTGAAACACAGTGGTGGTATAGAGGCTGCCATGCTGGAGGCTCTGGATTTTATCCCCACAAGTGCCCCACCCCTCAAAATCACACACACACACACACACACACACACACACACACACACACACACACACACACACACAGCAAAAGAAAGAGGAGAGAGAGAGAGAGAGAGAGAGAGAGAGAGAGCAATGTCACAATTACACAGAAGTCTTAAATTATACAAGAAAACTGCTTTCTCTGTTGTATTTTTCTAATTTAAGTTTTTGAGAAGTATAGATCTGAGTACTGTATTTATATTGTTTCCACCTTCTCTCTCCCGACTTCTCTACTATCCCCACCCCACTTCCTCTCAAATCCATGACCTCTTCTTTCTTATTACTGTTATATATGTTATCTCTACTGTGTTTCCCCTGAGGGGCAGGGTGTCCTGATCTTCTATTCTCCATCCATCAAAGGCAAAAAAGATTGAGTCATTCTTTTCCACTTAAATGGATTACTGCACAAATGCCCTTTTGTCAAAAAAAAACACCAGGACACGAGCACAGCTGAGCCCAATGTTTGAAGAGTGCTGAGGGGACAACAGAAAGTCCAGGGACGCTGTGGTGACAGCTGGGTATGTGGCGCTGCAAATCACCATCCAAGTGAAATTACGGCTACTTTTCATTGAAGCCAGAAAATATATTTTATTTCTTTGCTGTCTCTGTGTTTTCTGATTTCTCACTGAATTGAATTCGTCAGAGTCACTGCTAACTGCACAATAAAGCTGTTGAGAAATCAGAGATGAAGTCTATTTACAGCGTGTGAAGCAGTAGGGCTGTCCTTCAGTCTTGTGTAGGCACCCATTCTGATGGCAGCCACTGTAAAAGAATTGCCTTACCCCAAGTGATGTGAAGCATGGGAAGAGAGGTGGCGGCTTTTCATGTGTCCTTCTCAATCTGCGGTGTCTAGCTAGAAGACCCATAGAGCATGGCTGCCTTTCTCACCCTTCAGTCTGACACAGAATGAGTCCGGTTCCGGAAGGACCCACAGGCTCTTCAAAGATTATGTAACTTTGGATCCTATAATAAGGAAATGATAAACCATCTGTCACCCGAAGGCATCTTATTCAGAGTTTGGAAATGATAGATACTACCCCACAAATAAGAGACAGCATAAAACTCTGAAATAATCACGAGCACATTGCTGAATAATCTAGATATTTTTCAGGCAACTGGAGAAATTTGCCACAGCTTGTCATTCTGTAGAGGAGTCTGTAGCAGTACAGGTCAACATAAACTATGAATTCATGTTAATGTCGTCTCACCTGAGTCAATGGCTTGGAAGGGTCGAATGGTGATTTATGTATATTAGTAAAACTCATAAATATTTATCTTTTCTCATTGCTTTACTTGGCCATATTGAGATAATCTTTTCTGAATTGCTTTGTAACATTAATGTCGCTTGTTCCCATTTATACATTAGCCAAGCAGAGTTGATTGATCAATCTTATCCTTGGCTTGTTTCTATTTATTTCTTCACCATTTACATTTTTCACATTTCTTTCTAATTTTCTAGAGGCACACATAAAAGTATATTTATACACACACACTGAATAAAGCTGCTTAGTTTATTTGAGTATTCATGAAAAAATAGATCACTCTAGGGACTTTGAATGGATTTGTTATAGTTTGGTGGAGGGGGATTGGAGAAGCTCTCCAAGTAGCAGGTTGTGTGGGTATTGGTCTAACACAATTTAGATATGGCTTAGCTTTACCAAACTATGGCACCTAGGTTTTAGCTGAGATCCATTATCCTAAGTTTATTGATAAAACATGCAGGGTATGTATTGAAGTCAGGGGAAACAAATATGGTTGATTCATTCAGAAGTTAGTGGGTGTCAGTTACCAAAGATCAAACACTGCTCAAGGTCACAGCTACAAGTAAGGTGGACTACAATCCCTGGCTTCATGAAGCTTACACACAGTGGGTAAAATTCAGACCAGTAATAAATAGATGGATAAAACATATAGATATGTATCATAGGAGATGGTGGCTGTGGAAAAAGAGCAAACCTGGATGGAGGGTGTGTGTGTGTGTGTGTGTGTGTGTGTGTGTGTGTGTGTGTGTGTGTGTGTGTGTGCGTGTGTGTTGAAAGAGAGAAGAGACTAGGGGTCCAGAGTCCCTTTTGAGAATATGTCCTTACTGACTTAAAGACCTTTCCTCTAGTCTGTCAGCATGAGCAGTATGCCCCCTGCCCCGCCTTCCAATGATGTCAAACTAGAAACTGAACTTTCAGTATATGATCTTTTGAGAGACGTGAGCTCTAATCTAAGGCAGGAGCCAGTGCCAAGCCTGGAGATACATGCCAGGCATATTCAATCAACAGCATGGAGACAAGGCTAGAAATAGAGGGCATAAGACCACGGGATCTTCATCCAGACAGCATTTTCCTGTCTTCACAGTGAGACTTTCGGAACCTGAAGAGAAAATGGATCATTTCCCACTTGGAAGAAGCTGCCTTTGATGCCAGTAGTTATGAGAGAAAAAGTTGAACTGAGATACTCTACAGCAATAACAACCAGAAACATCTAGAGACCATTAGCAACAGCAGGGAAAGCCAGTGACCCAGAAGCTGGCTAGAAGCCAGACATCGGGACCTAGCAGTAGCTTCCTTCTGCAGCAAGCACAAAACCAAAAAAACAAAGACTCCAGTTTTCTCAAAATTTTGCTTTGAACCAAGTATGGTGCAAGTCTGCACCCTGACCTGGGGCACAGCCTTGCAATGGAGTAGCCTAACCCTGGGCAGAGGCAAGGGAGACAAGGACCTAAGGGGAGGAGTTTAGTAAGCCTAGAAAAAACCAGTGTCATATTCCAATGCAAATATTGCCAGATAATTCTCCATAAGGTCTCCCCACTGTCTTCCTCCCACCCCCACCCTACCCGTCCCAAGAAGAGCAGCCTCAGCTTACCAGAGAATGTCAGACATGTACATTCTCAGGCTCCACCCCTGACTTACTAGACTCAACGTTCTGGGGGTAAGAGCCCCAAATTCTGCATGTTATGAAACTTTCAGTTGGCAAGGGAGAAGTGAAGTTTGGCAACTCTTGGATCCACACGATAAAACAATCTATGTGTTTTTGTTTTTGTGTTTTTAAGATAAAGTCTCCTGCAGCCAAGGCTCACCTGGGACACACTGGTAGCCAAGGGTGACCTTGAATTCCTAATTCTCCGACCTGCACCTCTTCCCTGCTCTAAACTATTTTTATTTTTTAGAATTTCATAAATGAGTACTGTATTTATATCATTTTCATTCCTCTCTGCCCAGCTCCTTTCATCCCACCCACTCTTTTCCAAATTCATACTTTTTTCAGTTATTGTTGTCACACACATACATACACACATGTATGTATGTATCTATGTATTTTGTATGTATGATGTATATATGCACAACCTGATGAGTCCATCACTTAGTGTTGCTTGTGTGTATATGTGCTTAGGGCTGACCAGTCAAGGTTGGATAACCTACCAGGGGTTTTTCCATGGAGAAGACTGCTTACCCTCTTAGCAGTCATTAACTTCCAGCTGCTTTTCACCTGTGGAGGTGTGTGATGTCTCCCCAGCCACACTAGCATGTCATCTGGTGCTATCACTGTGCGAGTCTCGTTCAGGCAGACATATTGCTGAGACTTCCCCTGTACTGTATAGAAGACAGTCTCACAGCAGATGTCCTGGTCCTCTGACTTTTACAGTCTTTCTGCCTCCTTTTCCAAGAGGTTCCATGAGCCTTAATTTTAGCTATATCAACGAGGATTGGACACCTCTTGGTCAATTGTGGATCTTTATCTGCTGTAAAAGTAAGCTTCTTTGATGAGAGCTTGAGAACTGCACTTACCTGTAGATATGAGGGCAAGTATTTAGAATGCAAGTAGGGATTATCCTGGTTTAGGAGAATGGCTGTAGCCAGTTCTCTTCTCGGATCCATGACTTCCTTAGCCACATGTAGTCGGCTAAGTGTACAGTACAGGTATGAATTCCCTATTTGGTTAACCAATTCTTAATTGGTTAAGGGCAACTGGGCATCTGTTGCTTACCCCTAAGATATATGTGCCCCTATTGCACTCTTGGGGACATCTTGCTGGGATGGTCATTGTTGTGGTTTATAGACTTAACAGCTGTGTAGGACTATTATTTTTCTCCCTCGGCAGCTAGCATAGCACCTTCTGATACTGTTTGGGAAGAGGCTTCCAAGTCAGGTCCAGCTTGATTCTTCCAAATCCTTTGTCTGAAATGTGTGGTGTCTTCAGCAAGAGGATCTTACCGTCAGCCTCTGGGAGGTCACCAGGGGCAATGACAGTAGCCTATATTATTTTGGAAGTTTCTTGTATTGCTCTGAACAACAACTCAGAGAAAGGTTTCCCACAAAATGATCCTTCTCTATGGATTTTCCAAACACTCTTAGTGTTATTTATCCTTCCCCACCCTTTTCTCCGCTTTGAAGTGCTATGTTTACAGGCACTGAGACCTGTATTATACCCCACCCCCATCCCATCATTCTTTCTTAGGTCCTAAGTGCTGGTCCATATGTCCTACAGTTTTTATTTTCCAAGAAGCTTTAATAGTTATTTTCTTATCAAAATCTGATATAATTTTCTAGAGCCAGCTGAAGAAGCCTCTCCTTGATGATGTTGAGTCAACAAAGGGTTAAGGAAGTGGGGTGGGGTACAGATATTCATATGGTGGCCTTCCAGGGGCATCAAAAAAATCCTCTAACTGCTTGTCAGCCTTTGCTTATAACTGACCATGAGATTGAGAGAGAAAACAGAGATTCCCTTTCAAGTGACAGGAGACCCGTCAGCAGCTTCTTACTGCCCACACAGCAAAAGACTAAGCCAACTACAAGAAGATGCCTTGAGATACCTTCCCTTGCAAAGGTGGAATGTAGTGGTTTTTATGTCCAAAGCTGGATGTCACTCTGGGTGGAGCTGGTTTTCATTTCCAGAAGTCCAGCATTTTCTTTTCTTAGCCCCACATCTGTAGTCCATGAGGACCAGGGCCATAAGCTTGGATTGTATCCGTAGGACCAACACCCCAGAGCCTGGCCTAGGGAAGGCTTGTATTACACAGTTACATATTGTGATAAGACCATAACAAATTGAAGGGACTGGTGAAAATGAAGCATTTTAAACACCTCATTCTGCAGAAGGGATGCCAGCACAGAGAAAAGCAAAGGTGGCCGGCATGCTGATTTGACCATGAGAAGTTTCTGCTCTGCTTTTCCCCATTGGCGGGGCCATTTGAAATTCACAATCCAGCATAGTCACATTCTCAAATTCCTCATCCTATTGATATAGGAGGCAAAACTTTTTTGAATGAATAAATCGGGGCTTGAGACTGCCCCCTTTTCTGATTGAGGCCTCAGTCACATAGCAGTCTGCTTTGTAAGGAGTAGAGGAAGCCTTGAATGAGTGAATCCCTGAGTGAGTATGCATTGTTGACATGGCCGCAGCCATGCTGTCCACTCCAAGGCCTTGGGCCCACGGGACACTGGCAAAATCGTTACCCATACAGTCTCTAGAATAATGGCCAAGCTTTCCTTGGGGGTCCTGTAATTAGGATTTATGAGGGATTGATCAGTGTGTGCAAAGACCAGCAGTCACAGCTTCCTGCCCTTGGATGTTTACAGCCTTAGACTGTTCTTCTGCAGACCTCCCACCCAGACTAGCTAATCCCTCCTGCTGTGCTGTACCTAATCAACACACTAAGGTTCCCAGTTGCAGGGAGCAGACCTCCACCTGATCCCAGCTTTACTGTGATGTGTCTGTCTGTCCTTTCTTCATTCCCTCACTGCCCCTTGTTAGTCTTCTAGGACCCAAGTCACACAGATCCTAACACTGCCTGTAACTTTTGAACTCTCAGAGTCTGGAGACAAGCAGGTCACCAACCAAGGGAGAGAAGGACCTAACACCTGTTTATCTGCAACTATTGAATTCTAAGCATATCTCATACTGGAAATGGACCATAGCAGCTCATTTCTTATAGTAGCGGCAGAGGA